TGGGAGTGTCAGAGACAGTGTGATTGGCACAGGACAGAGCGGAGTTTAGGGCTGTTGTACATAGGGTCGCTATGAGTCGCAGGCGACTAGACGGCACATAACAACAACAACAACAACAACAACTGTTGATGCATAGCTGACCCTCCAGCAGATTTTCAGAGGGAGTTAATAGCTTGAGAGGAGATTGCCCGTCTTTCTCTCATGGAACAGTTGGTAGATTTGAATCATGTACCTTTTGGTTGCCAGTTCAATTCCTTACCACTAGGCCAATGACAAATGGACAGTAAACATATGAAAACTTAAAGCTGAAGAAATGATACAAAAACACTAATCATTGTGGCATCAGTACTGGTGGATTTTGAAGTGTTAACAGTCTTAATGGAAAGAATCAGTCTTATGTTAAATGGAAAATGTTTATTCTTGAAATCTACATTTCCATTCTTGACAGCCTGTCCTGTAGGAATGAAATCTTAGTACACAAGAATATAGTGCCCAGATGTTACTGAATGGTGGTACATGGTAGTAGCAAATTGGATACAAATAGAAAGCCCATCAATAGGAATGATTGAAGAGTCAAGCTGAATGGCTATTGAATGTTATGTAGCCATTATAAAGAAAAGATTATAAGTCTAACAATTACCTTCGGAGATTTTCCCTCAAGATATTATATGAATAAGAAAAAGAAGATACCAAAAACATACTGTTAAAGTTTAAAAAGGAGCCCTGATAGCACAATGATTAAGTGCTTGGCTGCCAGTGGAAGGTCTGCGGTTTGAGACCACCAACTGCTTCATCGGGAAAAAGATCTGACCATATGCCGTTGCCAAAGTTACAGCCTAGGAAGCCCTGTGGGGCAGTTCTGTTCTGCCTCTAAGGTCTCTGTACGTTGGAAGTGAATTGACACATAGAACAACAACAACAACATATTTTTATAAACTCAAAAGAAGAAAAAGACTGTGTAAATGTATCCGTGGGAGTGACGTTGCACAGAACATGTCCTGGAAGCGTGTGTACCAGGTGGTTGATGTGCTTTACCTTGAGGTGGGGGCGAGGGTGGGAGGGATGATGCGGGTATAATAGGGATGGAGATGGAGGGTGAACAATAAAATCACTGTTCCAGAACTCATCATTTTCATTAAAAAGGGAAGAATGTACAAAGGTTGTGAACAGGTAGGTAATGAAGTAAAAAAGGCAGATGATCAGTACGTAGTTAAAATCATTTTGACATCACCTTTCAAAGAAAGGCAAATAGAAGTGACAAAGACATGTAATTTTACCCATCAAATCGATTCCGGTGAGAATGATTGATAATACCCATTGCTGATGAGGTGTATACTTTTGTAAATGGCAGAAGTAAAGGGACAACTTTGTGAGAGGGAATTCGGTGATACATAGTAAGGTCAGTAGTATTCATGGTCTTTGAGAAATCAATTCTGTATCCAGAAATTTATCCTGTGAAAAGTCTTAGAGACTCACTGACCATTTAAGAAAGTTCATCTTGTGATTATCATTTTTCCCCCTTTAGCAGGACCAAGAAACAGCAGTCGAGCACAGTGAAGAACAGGTCCTCCAGGAGGATGTGCAGGCTGAGGAGTACGTGGCCATTGCGGACTACTCGGCTACAGATGACACGCAGGTACTCTGTGTGCCTCACACACCGGGTGTGATCATTAGCTCTCCTTTTGTTTGTTAAGTATTTCTATTCTAGGTCAAGATCACATATCAAGCTCCAGGTCCCTTTTATGACCAGGAAGCAGCTGGTCAAAGTCCAGATCACTGTCTGCAGTCGTTCCTCCTCAGAAAGTCCTCACCAAGTGCAAGTCCTCAAAGAATGGGCAGGGAGAAAAGTGCAACAATGAATAACTGGAAACCCTAAGTCTCTGTAAACTTTCATTAAAATTAATTAAAAAAAAAAAGACAGTAAAGAAAAAAGAATGGACTGCTTTCAAGTTCACCCTTTAGGAAAAACGTTATTTTGTTTACATTATTATAAGGGATTTGTAATGTCTGTAAAAGTGTAACCTAGGAAAAGGTATTTCAACCATCTAATCAAAATGAATATGTATAATGACTCCCTGTGACTTTGAAAATTAGTACCTAACTAAGGAGAGACTGGAGAGTATTATACTGAGCGAACTAACTCAGTCCCATAAGGACAAATACTGTATGAGATCATTATTATAGAAATAGAAAGATTACTAGTAAAACATGTATGGAGCTCTAAGGGGAGAGGGTAGGAGCAGAGCAGTGAGGATGGGTGAGGTGAAAATCATGGGGTCGCACAGTTTGGTGGGAGGAGGGAGGGATGGGTAAAGGAACTGAGAAAGATCTGCCAGGGACCTGGAAAAGACAGGACACTGGTGGGCACAGTTCAGTGTTTGATTTTTTTCAATGATTAATTTTAGAAAATATAATGAATCAGAATGATTGAAACACAGTGTTAGTGAAGGATAGTGTGAAACACATGTATATGAACTCTGTAAGCAAACCAATATAAAATACATTTTTTTAAAAAAAGCAGTTTTTATTGAATGTATTAACATCTTATGACCTGAAAATGTGGGTTTTAATTTGGTATGTTGTTGTTATGTGCCGTTGAGTCACCTGTGACTCATAGCGACCCTGTGTACAACAGCCCTAAACCCTGCTCTTTCCTGTGCCAGTCTCATTGCCTCTGACACACCCATCCCGATTACCCCAGTCACTGAATCAATCCACCTCATAGAGGATCTTCCCCTTCTGTGCTTTCCCTCCACCTTCCCAAGCATGATGTCCCTCTCCAAGGACCTGTCCCTCCTTTCAACATGTCCAAAGTATGTCACACGAAGCCCCAGAATCCTTGCCTCCAAGGAGCAGCCTGGTTTAACCCTCTCCAGGATGAATCTGTTTGTTTTCTTGGCAGTCCGTGGTACATTCAGTACTCTTCTCCAGCACCACAGCTCAAAGGCATCTATTATCCTTCTATCCTCCCTAGGCATTGTCCAAATCTCTGATGCAAAGCAAGTGATTGCAAAACCATGGCCTGTATCAGACGCACCTTAGTCTCCAGAGACACACTGTTGCTCTTGAGTGCTTTAGAGAGGTCCCTAACAGCAGACTTTCCCATCGCAATACGTTTTTTTATTTTCTGGCTGTTGGTGCCAAGAGTGTTGACGGTGGAGCTGAGCAAACTGAAGCTGTGAACAATCTCAATCTCTTCACCATCCATCCTGATGCTGCCAATTGGTCCAGTGGTGAGAATCTTTGTCTTCTTGACATTGAGCCTCAATCCATATTGGAGGCTGCAGTCCTTGACCCTCTGCAGAAAGTGCATGAGGTCCTCCTCAGTTTCAGCGAGCAAGGTTGTGTCATCTGCATAACGCAGATTGTTGATAGATCTTCCACCAATGCTGATGCCACACTTCTCCTCATAGAGCCCAGCCTCTCGGATAATTTGCTCTGCATACAGGTTGAAAAGGTATGGAGATAGAACACATCCCTGGGGTACACCCTTCCCAGTTTTGAACCATGCAGTTTCTAACTGGGAAAAAAAATTAAACTGGCAGAGAGGCACTCACTGCCTTTTGGTTAGCAGCACACCTCCCTACAGACTTTGTCACTGGGTTCCCTCAAACCAAAGTTCTGCCATTCCCAAACAAAGATGTTTTCAGGTATTTAGATCCTTATTGAAACCATTCTCTTTCTTTCCTGACAGATTCTAACCCCAAGTGTGATGTGAGGGGAACCTGAGTTAAGGAAGTATCTTATCAGCAGGGTGAGGAAAACTGCTTGCTCTGGTTTCTGCTTGGAAACCTGGAGTAAGAGCTCACCCTAGCTAAAGAAATGGCAGATTATAAGATAAAAACACTTACTTGAGTGTCATTTTCCTTACTTTGTAACAAGGATTTTTTAAAATTAATTTTAATGAACATTTACAGAAATTTTAGATTTCCATTCATTCATTGTTGCATTTTTCTCCCTGCCCACTCCTTCCCCCCAGTTTGTTCCTCTCTGAAAAGTAAAATAAGAATTCTTTCATTGGTATACAATCCCCTCCCTGCCCCCAGCACATCTTCATTCTGGACTCTTGTCATAACCATAATACCCAATCATATATCACTTTTAGACTGTCCTCTCCCTCATCTGTTTCCATGCAGTATACATAATTTATCCAATTTTTCTCAGTCTCATACCAACCCTGATATCAGTCCCATTATACAACAGTGGCACTATGCAGTATTTGTCCTTTTGTGACTGAGATATTTCACTCGGCATAATGGATTTGTAAAAAAATAGATCCTAGAAACTCTTGGCTACTGCGTTGCTGAGTTACCGCTAGAAGTTGTTTAGTTCTGGTGTAGTCCATAGTTACAGAGCTGAGACTTGGCCCCTCCTCTCTGGTGTTTTGACTCTGTTCACAGCTCCGTGGGAGAAAGATGGACCATTTTCACTGGTGTGTTTTACAACTTGGGAAACCTGCTTGAAGGTCAGCTATGACTTAGTTCGAACTGGACAGAAATGAGCTTTTTGAGAAAAAAAAATGTTTAACCTCTTATTTTCTTTTTAAGAATACCAAGTAAACTGTTTTTACCAAATAACAATGAGCCAAATAATAGCATTGTACAATTGTATTTGACATTAGATAGAAGTGACTGAAAACCAATTGCAGAAGAAAAAAGTCTGAAAACTGTAAAAGAAATAAATAAGCTAAGCTGTATTTTGAGTAGCTGTGTCCCCAAAATTTCTAACTCCTGCTATTATTTTATCAATTATCTGTTGCTCTCCTTACCCACTGTTTACTTTTTTAATTTGCTGTGATTCGGCTACCAGGATTTCTTCTTGAGCCACAGTTCCAATGTTACTGGTTTTAGTAAACAGAACACGTGTGTCAGTAAACAGAACACATGTGTCAGTCAGTACACAGATCATATGTGTCAGTCAGTAAACAGAACATGTGTGGACAGTCAGTAAACAGAACACGTGTGTCAGTAAACAGAACATGTGTGTCAGTCAGTACACAGAGCACATGTGTCAGTCAGTAAACAGACCAGTAAACAGAGCACCTGTGTCAATAAACAGCACAGGTGTGGACAGTCAGTAAACGGAACACGTGTGTCAGTAAACAGCACGTGTTTAAACAGAATACGTGTGTCAGCCAGTAGACAGAACACGTGTGTCAGTAAACAGAACACTTGTGGACAGTCAGTAAACAGAACACGTGTGTCAGTCAGTAAAGAGAACACGTGTGTCAGTATCAGAACACGTGTGTACAGTCAGTAAAAAGAACACGTGTGGACAGTCAGTAACAGAACACGTGTGTCAGTAACGTAGCACTTTACTCTTGGGTTATTCACTTTCTTTTTTTTTTTTTTCCAGCTGAGTTTTTTGAGAGGAGAGAAAATTCTTATCTTGAGACAAACTACTGCTGATTGGTGGTGGGGTGAGCGTGAAGGCTGCTGTGGCTACATCCCGGCCAATCATGTCGGGAAGCAGTTGGTGGAGTATGATCCTGAAGACACCTGGCAGGACGAAGAGTACTTTGGCAGCTATGGGACTCTGGTATTCGCTTTTCAGATTGCTTATTCAATTTGCCAGGCAGTGATTTCTTCTCTACTATTTTATTAGGTTCTAACTCAAGGGAAATTATCTCTTGGCTCTACTTACTGCTTTTCAGAACTTGGCAAACATTGTCTGAAAAGAGCCAGATAGTAAATACCTCCAGCTCCGTGGGCTGTGGTATTCCTGTGTTGCCTCCTTACCACTCATTATACAACAGAAGTTGCCATGTTATTGTGAGGTGCTGTGAAGTCGACTGTGACTCACAGTGACCCTGTGAACAACGGATCTGAACCTTGCCCTCTCCTGCACCATCATCTTCTGATATGCTTGAACCCATTGTTACAGTCACCTTGTTAATCCATCTTGTTGAGTGTCTTCCTCGCTTTTTCTGACCGTCTCTCTGTCTTATTCAGCATAATGCTTTTTTCCCCCCCAAGGACTGCCCCTGACTCCTGACAACATGCCAAAAATCTATGAATAAAATGTCACCATTCTTGCCTCTAAGGAGCCCTCTGGTTGCACATTTTCCAAGATAGATTTATTTGTTCTTTTGGCATTCCATGAGGTATTTGGTATTCTTTTCCAGTACTACGATTCTTCTTCTGTCATCTGTATACATTGTCAAACTTTGAGATGCATAGGAAGCAACTGAAAATACCATAGTTTGAACCTGGTGAACCTTAGTCTTCAAACTGACTGCTTGCTCTTCAGGACTTTGGAGAGATCCTGGATAGTGCATTTTCCTAGTGCAGTGCATCTTTTAATTGTTGACAACTTTAATCTTTTCTTCATGTATCATGAGGTTGTCTGTTGGTCCAATGGTGAAGAATTTTGTTTCCTTGACTTTGAGATGTAATCCATATTAAAGGCTTGAGTCTTTGATCTTCTGTAGCAAGTGTTTCAATTCCTCTTCACTTCCAGCAAGCAAAGTTACATCATCTGCATAGTGTATGTTGTTGATAAGTCGTCCTTCAGTCCTGATGTAACATTGTTCTTCATATAGTCCAGCTTCTCGAATGATTGGCTCAGCATATGGATTAAATAGTTAAGGAGGAAGGATACTGGTGTACCCCTTTCCTAATTTTAAACCATGCAATGTTCCCCATCCCCTTCTTCTGTTTGGACAACAGTTGTTGTTTGTTGTTATGTGCCGTTGAGTTGCTTGCAACTCATAGCGACCCTGTGTACAACAGCCCTAAACTCTGCTGTGTCCTGTGCCAATCGCACTGTCTCTGACACTCCCATCCCGATTATCCCAGTCACTGAATCAATCCACCTCATAGAGGGCCTTCCTCTCCTGCGCTGTCCCTCCACCCTCCCAAGCATGATGTCCTTCTCCAAGGACCGGTCTCTCCTCACAACATGTCCAAAGTAAGTTAGACGGAGCCTCAGAATCCTTGCCTCCAAGGAGCCACCCAGTTTAACCCTCTCCAGGACAAATCTGTTTGTTTTCCTAGCAGTCCATGGTATTCCCAATACTCTTCTCCAGCACCACAGCTCAAAGGCATCAATTTTCCTTCTATCCTCCTTGGTCATTGTCCAACTCTCTGATGCATAACAAGTGATTGCGAAGACTATGGCCTGTATCAGATGCACCTTAGTCTCCAGAGAGACATCATTGCTCTTCAGTATTCTGGAGAGGTCCCTAACAGCAGACTTTCCCATGGCAATGCACTTTTTAATTTGCTGGCTACTGGTGCCAAGAGTGTTGACTGTGGAGCCAAGCAAACTAAAGCTGAGTACAATCTCAATCTCTTCACCATCCATCCTGATGCTGCCAATTGGTCCAGTGGTGAGAATCTTTATCTTCTTGACATTGAGCCTCAATCCATATTGGAGGCTGCAGTTCTTGACGCTCTGCAGCAGGTGCTTCAGGTCCTCTTCAGTTTCAGCAAAGAGGGTTGTGTCATCTGCATACCGCAGATTGTTGATAAACCGTCCCCCAATCCTGACCCCACATTTCTCATAGAGCCCAGCCTCCCGGATAATCTGTTCTGCATATAGGTTGAAAAGGTATGGAGATAGGATGCATCCCTGGCGTACGTCCTTCCCAATTTTGAACCATGCAGTGTTCCCTTGCTCTGCTCTGACGACTGCCTCCTGGTCCAAGTATAAGTTTCGCATTAGAACAATCAAGTGTTCTGGGATTCCCATTCTTCTCAGAGTCAGCCACAGTTTGTTATGATCCACATAGGCAAAACTGTGGACAACAGTAGCCACAGAAAATACAAAAATATGTGAGCTTGTGTTCCAATAAAACTTTATGTACAAACACTAACATTTAAATTTCTAATAGGACCACTAACAAGCTCTGGTGGCCTAGCAGTAAGGAGCTGTGTTACCCACCAGAAGGCACACATTTTAAATCCACCAGCTGACTGCTTTGTGAGAGAAAAATGGGCAGTCTCCTCCCGTGTGATTTACTGCATCAGAAAAAGCTGCTGGAGCTAAGAGTTGGTTCTAACTCAATAGCACATAACATCAACATCATCAGACCACTTGTATTAAAAGCTAAAGAAAGGCTTTAGACACAGTTAGAATTAATCGTAGAAGATTAACAAGGATGAGAATGGAGGGAAAGAGTAAAAAAGTTCTTTCTGTGACTAGTTTATTCAGGGAGCCCTGATGGCCTGTCTGTAGGCAGTTGTGCAGCTAACCGAGCTCCTCTGGTGTTTGAACCCCGCTCCAGCTCTTCAGGAGAAAGAAGAGCAATCTCCTTCCACGTGATTTGTAGCCTCAACACTTACTGGAAGGTCAGCTATGAGTTGATTCCAACTCAGTGACAGTGAGTTTTTTTTAATATGTCCCACAGCATAATTTGTTTTAGATTCATCTGTGTTGTGCAATATTTCACAGCTTCTTGATATTTTGGAGGACATCCTGCATTGTGTGAATGAATGATCTCAATTTCTTTAGCCATTCATCTGTTGTTGGATATTTTTGTTATTTCCAACTCTTTGCCCTTGTAGATAGAGCTGCATTAAATATAGGTGTATATAATTTGTTTTGCACTTCTTATTTTGGGGGATATATGCCTAGTAGTGAGATTGCTGGGTTAAAGAGTATTTCCATTCCCAACTCTCTAAGAAAGTGTCAAACTGCTTTCTGTAGTGGTTGTACCATTTTTACAGTCCTATCAGCAGTGTGTGAGAGTTTTGGTCTCCCCTCATCCTTGCCAGCATTTTTTATTTGAAGTTTTTTTAACATTACTATTTTTGCTGTGGAGAGATAATATCTCTTTGTTGTTTTTACTTGAATACAAATGAATGAAGACCAGATGAGCTGTGAAATATGGAGACTATCACCATGAGGAATACAAAAGGTCATTGTTAAGACAAATGGATTTCAGAAGAGACTCCAAATACTGCACTAGAACTCCAAAAAGCCAAAATAAAAGGAAGAAATCAAGAAGTTAAGGAGCTGAATAGAAGATTTCAAAGGGCAGCCCAGGAAGACAAAGCAAAATATTATAACGAACAGTACAAGGAGCTGGAGTTAAAAAGTCGAAAGAGATGAACTCTCCTGGAATTTCTTAAGCTGACGGAATTGAAGAGCATATTCAAGCCTTGGGTTGCAATACTTAAAGATTATTGAATGATCCAGGAAACTTCAAAAGAAGATAGGAGTACACACAGTCACTGTACCAAAAAGAATTGGCTGACACGGAAGAATTTAATGGAATAACATGTGATCAAGAAGCAGTGGAGATGAAGAAAGAAATACACGCTACTCTAAAGGAATTGGCAAAAAAATAAGACCTCAGGAATTGATGTAATACCAGTTGACATCTTTTCACAAACAGATGCATCCCTGGACATGCTCACCAGGTTGTGCCAAGAAATCTGGAGGACAGCTAGTTGGTCAACTGACTGGGAAAAAAAAATCTGTATTCCCATTCCCCAAAAAGGTGACCCAACAAATGTGGAAATTACTGAACAATATCACACGTGAGCAAAAGTGAGAACAGTAGTATATAACAGAGAACTGCCAGAAATACAAGCTGAGTTTAGAAGAGACTGTGGCACTAGAGATATCATTACCAATGTCAGATGGACCTTGGTTGAAAGCGTACCAGAAGAATGTCTATTTGTATTTTATTAACTTTGCGAAGGCATTTGACTTCTGCAAATCACAACAAACTGTGGCTAGCATTGAGAAGAATGGGAATCCCAGAACACTTGATTGTGCTCATGCAGAACCTCTACTCAGATCAAGAAGCAGTCATCAGAACAGAGCAAGGAATCACTGCATGGTTCAGAATCAATAAAGGAGTGCGTCAGGAATGTATCCTTTCTCCATACATTTTCAATCTATCTGCAGAACAGATCGTTCAGGAAGCTGAAGTGCATGCTGCAGAAGGTCAAGGACTGCAGCCTTCAATATGGATTGCATTTCAACATCAAGAAAACAAATTCTTACTACCAGGCCAATTGGCAGCATCATAATAGATGAAGAAGAGATACCAGACAAATGTCAGTGTTTCATTGACTATGCAAAGGCATTTGACTGTGTGGATCACAACAAATTGTAGCTAACCTTGAGGAAAATGGGAATCCCAGAACACTTGATTAACTCATACAAAACTTATACTCAGATCAGGAAGCAGTCCTCAGAACAGAGCAAGGAAACACTTCATGGTTCAAATAAGAAAAGGAGTATGTCAGGGATGCATCCTGTCTCCATACATTTTCAATTTATCTGCAGAACAGATCATTCAGGAAGCTGGGATCTATGAGGAGGAATGTGACATCAGGATTAGAGGAACACTCATCAACAATCCATGTTATGCAGATGACACAACCCTGCTTGCTGAAACACTTTTGGCACCAGCAGTCAGGAAATAAAAAGACTGATTGTACTGGAAAAATCTGCTGTCAGGGATCGCTCCAGAGTATTGAGAAAAAAACCGATGTCAGTCTAGAGACTTAAGATTTGCCTGATCCAGGCTATGGTCTTCACAGGCATTGATGCCTTTAAGTGTGGTGTTGGAGAAGAGTCTTGAACATACCATGAACCACCAAGAAAACAAATAGATCTGTCTTGGAGAAGGAGAAACCAAGTTTCTCCTTGGAGGCTAAGATTTTGAATCTCTGTCTCTCATACTTTGGTACACGGCCAGGACGGACTGATGCTTAGAGGAGGACGTCATGCTTGGAAGGGTGGAGGGACAGTGCAGAAGAGGAAGACCTTGGATGAGATGGATTGATCCAGTGACTGGGACAGTGGGGGTAGGTGTATCGGAGTAAATGAGACTGGCTCAGGACAGGACAGGCTTCAGAGCTGTTGTACATAGGGTTACTATTGGTTGCAGACAACTCAATGATACATAACCACCACAGCAACATCAACAACCACCTTTGGGTTGGCAGAGAAACTCCTAACCCACAAGCCCACCAGGACTTTTAGCTGTGAAAGTTTGAACTGAGTCTATATTTTTTATTTTATGATTGTTTGCTTGCCAAGTTCATATACATTGTGTTTCATACTATTCTTCATTCATATTGTGCTTCATATAATCATTCCCATGCATTATGTTTTATAAAATTAATCACCATTTGACTTTGCCCCTCATTCCCCTGTCTTTTCACCCAGATCCTTCCTGTTTCTTTCACTTCCTCCCTCCACCCATCAAAATGTGTAACCCTGTGATTTCGTCCCTACCCATCCTCACCCCTCTGCTCCCACCCCTTACCCTTTCAGGCTCCCATACATATTTTACTAGTTGTCCTTCTTACACAATAATGGTCTTATGCAGTATTTATTTATGAGACTGAGTTAGTTCCCTCAGCATAATGCTCTCCAATCTCTCCCAAGTTATGTAGTATTTTTGGAAAGCATTGTTCCTCAGTACGGTGTAATATTCCTTTGTGTGGATGTACCACAGTTTTTCAGTCCATTCAGTTGTGGTTGGACATTTGAGCTGTTTCCATGTTCTTGTGATGGAGAGTAATGCTCTTATGAATATTGGTGTACAAATCTCCATTTGTGTCTAATTTCCTTGGGGTGTATTCCTAGTAGTGGAATAGCTGGGTCATACGGAGTATCTATGTTCAACTTCTTGAGGAAACACCAAAATGCCTTCCAGAGTGGTTGTATTATTTTAGAGTCCCACAACAGTTTATGAGAGCTCTCCATATCATCTCCAACATTTATTACTTGATGTCCTGCTAAACTTTGCCACTGCTGCTGGGATGAGATGAAACCTCATTATGGTTTTGATTTGTGTCTCTCTTATTGCCAGTGATTTTGAGCATTTCTTATGTGTCTGTTGGCCATCTGAATGTCTTCCTCAGTGAAAAAACTTTGCATTTCTTTTGCCAGTTTCACAATGGGATTATTCAGAAGAGGAGGCCCAGTAGTATTCTGTAAACTATTGTTATGAGATTCTTGTCTGAGATGGTATTATCAAATATTTGTTCTCAGTTAGTAGGTTTTCTTTTCACCCTGTTGAAAAAATTTTTGATGTGTACAGGGATTTTATCTTTAGCAGGTCCCCATTCATCAGTTTTATCCTCTCCAGATTGTGTGTTTCTACCTGTATTTGTCAGTCTCCTTTAGACTAGGCCTTCTAAGCTTGTTCTCAGTTTGTCTCTTATGAACTTTATGGTTTGGGGCTTTATTCCAGGTCTCTGATCCACCTTGAGTTGATTTTTGTGTTTGGTGTGAGATGTGGATCCTGTTCCAGCTTTCTGCAGGTAGCACTTAAGAGTCCCGACAGTCTCCAGTTAGGGTTCATTTTATCATAAACAGTGTTGCTGAGTTACACAGTTGACAGACACTTTATAAGATCTCCAGAACAGAGCAGAGGAGAATCAGCCTGAGGTTGGGTTCTGTGCGAGAGGGGTAGGTTTGGTTAACCTCCGGTGTGCGGTTCTGCAGTTGCTGGGATGTAGTCTTCAGATTTCCTCCTAAAATGTGCACCTCTCCTGCCTTTTAAAAATCTCATGGTGTACATAATTTTACCATGTTGCCTTCAGGTCCTTATTTTATACCCTTTGTGATGTGTACTCTAGTACTGGTTGACTCTGCTGCTTCTTCAGCTCACTGTCACCTCCCTTCTGCTCTGCTTACTGCCTCCTATTTCCTTTTATTTTCCTTTCACTTCCCTCTCCTGACCTATGGTTTCTTTGATAAGGCAGAATTTTATGTGGAAAACGTGAATTTTGGGCTCCTCAGGAAAGGAGCTAAGTGAGGTAGAATGCTTTGTAGAGAGTTGTGCTGCTAAACCAAAGGCCACACCTCTGCTGGTTCAAATTCACCAGCTGTTCCTTGGGAGGACAGACAGTCTCCTGCCATGCAGCGTACAGCCTCTGTCATCTTGCTGGATTGTCAGCTCCGAGCTGTACACATTCTCTCTCACTCTGTGTCTCTCTCTGATGCTCCTGGTGTTCACTCGGTGTTCACAGGTTGTTTCTGATATTGGGACTGTGGGTTCCTGCTGTCTTGGGTGGACCAATGGTTGTCTGAGGATGAAGTCCACACTGCTGTCCTGAGTGATCCCCTCTATCTTTTCCTGCATGGCTATTGGGAAAGGGAGTATCGTGCTGAGTTCGGAGCATTCTACTTCACTCTTAGACGCTTTTACTTTTGTCCACTGGTATATTTTTACTTTCTTAACTCTATTTATTTCTCATATTGTTTTTAGGTGTGGAAATTTTTAAACTTGAACTGTACGTATTTTGGGAAAATGGCAGTAATTCTACATGTGTATCTCTTCTAGAAACTTCACTTGGAAATGTTGGCAGACCAGCCACGAACAACTAAGTATTACAACGTCATCTTGCAGAATAAAAATTCCCTGAAAGACAAAGTGATTCTGGATGTCGGCTGCGGAACTGGGATCATCAGCCTCTTCTGTGCGCATCATGCTCAACCCAGAGCTGTGAGTCAATGACGCTGTGCCTTTGGCGGCGTGTGCCGAGGCAGGTGTGGTGAGAATGGTCATTGCTGGGAAACACACTCTTGAACCTTCTCTTCGTCCAGACTATCTCTGAAAAGTGTCCCAGTGTGCCAGGCACTGTGTTTGGGGAAACGGGCAGCAGCCTCCAGCTGTGGGCCGAGTCACCGTACTGAGACCCAGATGGCACTTGTTTATAAACTTGATGGAGTAGGGCAAAAAGGAAATGCCAGAGTAAGATGCATGTCATAGGGTATTCTTGTTAATGAAACATTTGCTTAAATGTAGAGATACATGTCCAGTGTCCGCTGGGCTGCAGTGTATGGACTGCCATCAGGTGTGTGACACATCCTGGGTCCAGATTCGATATGGTAGGTCTGAGACCTCATCCTTCCCAGGTCATCACCCCTACTCCCAGGACATAGATGGACCCTCACTCCCTACTAAACTCTGCCCTCTCTCCTGAAGACTTGCCTGTGTGTGTTGCTAAATTTTGTGCTTCCTGATAGCTGACGGGGTGAATTTAGGTCCTGTTTTATAGGACAAGCCTGGCCCATATTCTCCTAAAACTGGGATCTGGCCCTTGAGACCCTCCATCCAGCCCTCCCCCGAGACCCTCTGTTTAGAATGCTCTACACGGTCCCTGGACAGAGAGGCTCCGCTGTGTTGTCAGGCACCAGGAGCCTCCAGGGTCCATTCATATTGTGCCTGGCTACATGTGCATGTGTTTGTTCACTGACCTTAGCCATGAGAGATTGCTCCAGTGGGTGATCCTGGGCAGGGTCAGGGGTGGAGGAAGGGTGAAGTAATAAAGGCAGCTCTTCTCTCTGGAGACAGAACCCGTCCTAAATCCTGTCAGGGTGTCCAGAGCAGGCTCGTAGCTGGTGGCAGTGTGATGACCCCGCTTATACCATGTGTCCCCTGTCCAGCCCCGTCTCCTCTCTCTGTGCTCTGGAGTTATTAACACTACTTTTAATGTCTCAGTTGGCTCAGAACCAGGAGGTGAAATGGCTGGATGACAGCATGGAGCTGGAAGCCTTCTTAGCACACCTGACCAATGAGCTTATGTCCTGGCAACAGGTGTATGCCGTGGAGGCCAGCGAGATGGCACAGCACACGGGGCAGCTGGTCCTGCAGAATGGCTTTGCCAACACCATCACTGTGTTCCAGCAGAAGGTGGAGGACGTGGTGCTTCCAGAGAAAGTGGACGTGTTGGTGTCCGAGTGGATGGGGACCTGCCTGCTGGTGAGAGGGGCTGGTGCCAGGTCAGGCAGTGAAATGTGGGGTGGGGATGGGGGCCCAATTTAGGTAGTCCTGTATAAAGGGCATAAGAACATTTGTTCAGAATCCTGGTCGTTGTGCAATTAGTCCCTCGTTGCTCCTATGCACGTGTGCAAACCTGCACAAAACTAGCTCAGTTTTGTGTTTTATTCTTTTTTTTTATCAGCAGATTTGGTCTTTTATTTGGTGATCCAGGTCAAAAGTGGTATGATTGTATTTTTTTTTTAGACTTTTTAATTTTCTTTTTAAAATTATTATTTTATACTGGTTTATTACAAAGCTCATAAAGTTCATATACATCGTTTTTCACACTGCATCTTTCTGCTTTTCCCCACCCACATCTCCCTCCACCTATCAAATTGTGTGACCCTATGATTAAGACATACCCCCCCCCCGCTTCCTTAGATCTCATACTCATTCTACAGTAATGATTTTGTACAATATTTGTCTTTAGGAGACTGAGTACTAGTTCACTCAGTGTAATGCTTTCCAGTCTCTCCCAAGTTATATAGTATTTTTCAAAATCATTTCTCCTGCATGCTGCATAGTATTCCATTGTGTGAATGTATTTAGTTTCTCAACCCATTCTATTGTGGTTGGGCATTTAGTTTGTTTTCATGTTCTTATGATGGTGAATAATGCTGCTGTGAACATTGGTGTACAAGTCTCAGTTCTAGCTGGGTCATATGGAATTTCTGTGTTAAGCTTTTTGAGGAAATGCCAAACTGCCTTCCAGAGTGGTTGTACCATTTTACAATCCCACCAACAATGTATAAGAGTTCCTATCTCACCACATCCTCTCCAACATTTATTACTTGATGCCCTGCTAAACTTTGCCACATCTACTTGAGTAAGATGGCATCTCATTGTGGTTTTGATTTGCATCTTTCTTATTGCCAGTGATTTGGAGCATTTCTTCATGTGTCTGTTGGCCATCCCAATGTCCTCTGTGAAAAGTCTCTCCATGTTATAATTGGATTATCAGTCCTTTTCTTCTGGAGGCCCAGAAGTATTCTGTAAACTTTTGTTATGAGACTCTTGTATGAGATGGTATTGCCAAATGTTTTTTTTTCCCCAGTCAGTAGGTTTTCTTTTCACCCTGTTGGGAAAAATTTTTGAAGAGCACAGATTTACTCTTTAGAAGATCCCATTCATCAATTTTATCCTCTTCAGATTGTGCATTTCTTGCTGTATTTATACTGTAGACCAGGACTTATAAGCTTGATCTCAGTTTATCTCTTGTGAACTTTATTATTTTTGGGCTTTATCCACCTTGAATTGATTGCTGTGTATGGTATGAGATGTGGGTCCTATTCTAGCTTTCTGCAGGTAGCAGTCCAATTTTGCCAGCACCATTTGTTGAAGAGGTTGTCATTTCCCCATTTGATAGGTTTCATTTCTTTGTCAAATATCAGTTGACCATAGGTAAATGGGTTCTCAATTCTGTTCCATTGGTCTATGTGCCTGTAACATGCTATTTTGGTTACTATTGCTGTTTAGTAGGTTTTGAGATCAGGGAGTGCTGTACCTTCCACTTTATTTTTGTTTTCATGAATGCTTTGCTTATTCAGGGTCTCTTTCCTCTCCAAATAAACTTGACAATTTCTCTTTCGATCTCCTTGAACTTAGTGTTATAATACCCCTCAGTGTGCACATTCTGCCAGCACTCTCAGCCAGGGCTCACGTGAGTGGGGAGAACTGGAAGGAAGGGGGGCTGTGAGTGTGTCATATGGTCACTGTTAGGATTGGCTAATGCGGAGAAGTCACAGCATGAGAAAGGACAGAATCTGCTCCTCAGCTGATCGTTACTATCATCATATATTGGTATCAAGCTCTGGTCACACCCGAAGCTTGGCATCTGGGGCTCGTGGCAGCCCCTGGCATAGAAACAGATGTGCAGCTCGCCCTGTGCTTGCTGAGGCTGCCGATCTCGTTCTGTGGGTCCCCTGGATCCTGTGACTGTGGCATTGTTATCATCATCCATAGCAATTGGGTGCACTCAGCACAAATCTGTCTCCACAGCGCCCTCTACATCTGACGGCATCTACAACACAAGATCAAAGATAGTATAACTAAGAATTCCAAGATAGTTCTGACTCAAGCGACCCTTAGTTGAGTTTCCATTTCCAAGTCTGTAAATCTTACTAGGAGATTGTCCATCTTTCTCCCTTAGAAAAACTGCTGGACCTGAACTGCTGGAGGTGGTCGGCTTTTTTCTTAACAGTGCAGCATGCATGCTATGACTTCACCATCGTTAGTACAGGCATTGTCCCTTGGGGCTGTGCTGTTGACTTGAGACGACGACAGTGCAGACAGGACTTGATTGAGGGCATGGCAAGTCCAGGAACAGGGAACCAGCCTACTTTGAGGGAGGGTAGGTTGGGGTTAGACGAGAACACGAGGAGACTGACTGTTAGGAGAGTCCAGTTGGGGCTAGGATGGGGAGGGTAGTCTTCCAGGACGGCTGCAGGGCAGTACAGTTGGACTGACACACTGATGGGTCTGTCTTTTAGAGTACCTCGATTTGGGACACAGGCTGCCATGTGGTTCGGATTATCATGCCTTTTCATGTGACTGTTTAACCAAGTATCACGTGGTATTTATCTTCCTCTTGATCTGTAAGTTTGTGTCATTAAGGAGTATTATCAGTCAGCTTGAAGGCAGTGAAAATTCAACATATAAGCCAACCTATTCCATTTAACAGTTAAATTAACAGCTAAAATGTACAGGCTCTATCAACATTGAGTAGTGCCTGAAGTGGGAGGAGCACACAGATTTCTCCTGATTATTTTGACTAGTCCTGTTTTTATTCCAGCAGCATTCATTAACATGCAGGTGTAAAGTGGGTTCTTTAAAGCACTTTTCTGTGTGGTGCTGGGCAGCACTCAGCTGGCTGGAATGTTCTTGGCGGGCACTTGTGGGAGGCCAACGCCATCAGTTAAATTGCACACACTCATACCCCTGCCCTCAGCCACGGGGTCTTTGTTGTCTCCTTCCTCCCCATGCAGTTTGAGTTCATGATCGAGTCCATCCTGTATGCCCGGGACATGTGGCTGAAGGAGGATGGGGTCATCTGGCCGAGCACTGCCGCGCTGCACCTTGTGCCCTGTAGCGCTGACAGGGACTACCACAGCAAGGTCCTTTTCTGGGACAACGCCTACGAGTTCAACCTCAGTGCACTCAAGTAAGTGGATGAGTGAGTCAGAGTTCCACAGCTTTCTGGAGCGTTCCTGAGCTTCCGGTTAGGGGCCTTCCTGCAGGCAGGTGAGCTCTGGACCCTTGGTCCCCTGAGGTGCAGCTGCTATACAGAGAGGGTCCTTGGTTGACATTTGTGCCCTTTTTCTCAGAGGTAGTACTGTTTTCTTCTGGAAGGAGTCCTTTTTGTTTGTTCCTTGTATACTTAGTGACTCAGCATGACTGTGGAAGTTTTGCTGGTATTTTCTCTCTTTGCCCATTTTCTCTTCCTTATCCCTGGCCCAACTCCTGATAAGTAAGAGATTGTTGTTTCCGAGGGATCCTTGGTGGCCACAGGATTGAGGAGAAAGCTGCACTCTGAAGATTACAGGCATCTCTAAGACATACAATAGCTAGACTTTGTTGTTGAAAATGTCATGAGCTAAGCCACCTTATCCCAGGTGCCTAAGGATTTTGCACTGCTCACAAGACTTGATAAGTCTTTTGAATCTCAGTAGAATATTTTTTTGTTCTTAAAGTTCTTAGATATAATGGGGGGGGGGAAATTAAGGTCCTATTTAAAAATAAGGCCTTTGAAAACACATGAGTCGTTAAAGAGCACAAACATGTTCTCCCACTAAGGGCTATTCATTTTTAAAAAGAATCAGAACGTCATTCCTGTTGGCTTGCAAAGCAGCACTCAAGGATAGTTCATTTTCTGATTAACATTTGGACGCCAGATCTTTACTAACATAAAGTGACTTCCTGATAAGGCCTGAGCAGCCAGCTTCCTTTCTGAGATGACCATGGAAATGGGGCAGAAGAAGAAACCCAGCATCAGCCTGGGAACCAGAGAGCAGAGCCATTGGTCAGAAACTGGACAGATGCCCAGTTCATGCCACGAGGCCAGAGATGGACGAGCATGGACTTCTGGTGGAATGCAGAGTGTGTGTCAACAACAACAACAACATGCAATTTCCCTCTTAATTGTTAGTCTTAAACTATAAGGGCGCTCTGTGATGTAATCTGTAGGGAGTTGTGATGTTAACTCAAAGGCTGAACTTGTCTGGCACTTTAAATCCAATAGTGACTCTTCAAGGGAGAAAGGTGGGCAGTCTCCTCCCAGGAGATTTATGGCCTTGGAAGCCCAGTGGAGGAGGTCAGCTATGAGTCAGTTCCAACTAGAAAGCAATGAGAGAGAATTCTCTTTCTCTCTCTCTCTGTGTGTGTGTGTGTGTGTATGTATCTATCTGTATATGTGGCATCCACTTCCTAAATAACATGCCTCTGGAAACTCTGTCAACTTTAGTAAATGTTGATAGCTGTAGAGGGGTATCAGGCCTTTTGTTCATAGGGTCACTTTGAGTTGTGCTCAACTCAAAGGCAATCAACATTAACAATATATAATATGAGAAAGATGGGCATTCTCCTCCCATGGTATGAACGGCCTCTGAAAACCCACTGAAGGGTCAGCTAGGGTTGGTTCTGATTCTGTGGTATACAGCAGACAACAACATTATATCTATATAATTTTTGTATCTATCTATCTATCTATCTTTTGTCTATTTCTGTTTTCTATTTCGAAAGTTACTGACATGCTTATTTTTTGTGACGTCCACGTGCTCTGTGATCAGTGTCCCTGTCATGTGCATGACTTGGAATGAAATGGGGAAGCAGCAGGTGGTGGCAGGGAGGCTGCGTGGTTTGTCTCTCTATGTAATTGCAGAAGTTGAGAGTATTTTCACGTGATCCTAGCTCAGGTGAGTGACTTCACACCTTGTTTTTATTTTGGAGTAATTTAGGATAGGAGTGTCCTTGTTTATTTATGGAAGAGTCACAGAAGGTCATTTGAAATAAATAGATTGTAAAGTTACAGTGTGCTGTTCTCACCCATCTGTTGGGGCGTGTGTCTGATTCTCAGGTCCTTTGTGTTCAGATCCTGTAAGACACAAAGGAGGCCGCATGATAATTGCCTTGGTGTCTGCAGGGGCAGAGGAGAGTAGGGTGGGAGCCTCTCAGCTTGCCCTTGCTGGGCCCTCTCTAGCTCTTTCTCTCTATACTCCCTCACCCCCAGTTCTCTCATTGCCTTCAAGTTTGGTCATAGCTCACTTTGCAGAGGGTTTCCAAGGTTCCGGATCACGTGGAAGTAGACTGCCCATCTTTCTGCTGAGGAGCAGCTGCTGAATTCAAACCCCTAAAGAATCCAGTCTCATAGGGGGATATGTCCATCTTTCTTCTGAAGAGCAGCTGGTGACGTCAAACCCCCCAGCAAAGCACAGCCTTTGGTTACTAGTATAGCTCGCTACAGACTGTTCCTGCTAATACGAGGACACATACATACTATTATTACCTTGTGTGTTCCAAACCAGAGATGCTTGTCTTGATGACTTTGACATTGACTTTGATCTTTCTCCCAGATCTTTAGCAATTAAAGAGTTTTTCTCAAAGCCCAAGTATAATCACATTTTGAAACCAGAAGACTGCCTGTCTGAACCATCTACTATAGTAGAGTTGGACATGAAAACTGTACAGGTCTCTGATCTAGAGGTGAGAAGATGATGAATTCTTTCATTATTTGTTACTATTTTTGTCACTGTAATGAGAGTTTACAGAAAGATTGGGTTTTCATTCCTTGTTGTACATTTTCTTTCCTCCTCTCCCTTCTCCTAATTGTTTTTTTTTAAAATAGAGTAATCAGTATCTGCAGTGTCACCGTGTAAGCCCTCAGTAAATGTTGTGTGTATATATGAGAACCTTATTGTTATAGAAATAAGGAATATATTAACTTTTTGCTGTTCATTTCTCCCATAGCCTTTTCCCCTGCAATGTTCTATACCTGTTTTAATTCACATAATTTTCCTCATGCTTAATTTCTTTACTATATTTAGTTGTGTTTTAATTGTATGGTTAGCACTAAAAATGTATTTACTTTCGTCATGAAATTTGAAATAAAATACAAGTATTTTTACTTCCAAATTCTTAAAATGATTTCCTCTAACTCTTTTTTTCCTTGTGGTTTTTTTTTTTCAATTACTCCCTTTTGCCACAAGGTGGCACTTGTGTGACCTTGGTGGTGGACAGGAAAGCCCTGCTTTTGGAGACTCAGTCCCTAGATTTCACCTTATGTCTGTGAGAGATAGTGTTTGAAAACACAGCTTGTTCAAAAACACTATGGTAGCCTTCTCTTGAAACTTGTATGGCGAAATGACGTGTTGATGGAAATGTTTAGGCTTTAGTTGGGCATTGTAGAGACTCAGGTTTGAAGCCTCTTTTTCCTGTTTATCCTGAAGAAATGAGTGCAGAAAATACTGCACACTTATTTGGTGGCCGAAAATTAATCATGCAGGCTTAGGTTACTACCTTTTCTAATTATCTGTGGCATTTGCATTAACAATATAACTTTTGCTGTTTACTTTTCTTAGGAGAGAATTTAAGTTAGCATTTTAAAGCTGTATCTGTCTCATCATTGCTAAATTAGGTGGCAGAGCTCTAGTGACGTAGTTTTAGTGAGTTGGACTGCCAGCCTGAAGCCTTGTATCCCGATTGTTCTGAGGGAAAAAGATGGGCCACCCTCTCTTGTTGTTATTTGTATCTTGGGAACCTGATGGATGGTCGCTATGAGTCAGAAGTGACATTATAGTAGTGAATTTTTTTAAAAAGTATTTGCTAGGAGAGCTTTTAGTTCAGCTACAATGCAGTGAGTTCTATAAAATGTTCAGTAAGCAAAAGAACACACCTGGAGTTGGCTGCTAGTTCTCATTTACAGAGCGGGACACGGCATCTTCCTCAGGAAATCTTATTACTGAGCAGGCCTTTGGCACAATTGTGCAATTGATGTTTTTATGTGTTTGCTTGAAAACAGACAATGCAAGGCGACCTGCACTTCGATATTAAAAAAGCTGGTACTCTCCATGGGTTCACAGCCTGGTTCAGCGTCCAGTTCCAGAATCTAGAGGAAAACAAGCCACAGCTGGTTCTGAGCACCGGCCCGTTCCACCCGTGAGTGACCCTGACTGGCACAGCCCTTCTGGCGTGCGTGGCTGTGCAGATGTGATTTGGTGCTACATGAAGTGTGCAGTGACACCGTGTTTACCTTCAAATTGTCACCAGGCCAATGAGTATGACAAAAGGCGTGACTTAATGATTCAGTATGGATTGAAAGTTGAGACCAGGGTAACCCTTGTATATGAGGTTTCTGGATGCTGGTGGGTCACTGCGGCAGACGTGAGGAGGCCATTCAGGTCACAAAGAGTCTACATGTACGACTCTGTGCGGAGGGAGAGCTCTGGGGTCTCCCCTCTCCTGCTGCCCTCCGTGTTGGGTTCCTCTGGATGGATAGACTCGAGCTACCTGATGCTCTAACACAAAAACACAGTTGCATTTTTGCAACTTATAGTTAGATTATTCTGGAAGACCCATGTTTCTTGGGACGAACTTGTCCAGAATCTTCTTTGATTTCATGGAGGTTAAGATTTCTTGAGCATATATTGGAGGTTCATTCTTGGTCTGGTGCCAGTCTAGGGATGTTGAGGGCCAAGGTTGGCACACTGCGGCATTTCCCCCCACTCTCCCCCACTGCCTGTAGCCGTGCGTTCAGTAGTCTCTCATTCCCCCTTGTAACTGCCCTGAGTGTGTTTTCCTCTGAGTCAAAGTGGCTGAGACACCAGAGAGGGCACCTCATGGGTTTAACAGTCATGAGATCTAGTGGGAAGACCTTGGTCATCACTTTATAAATAGAGTGCTGCCCAGGGGATGCTGTTTGACCCGAGCTGCCCTATAGCTGATGGACAGGCTGGGGCTCTCACCAGATGCCTTCCTGAGATTCAAGTGGCCCCCACAAAAAGAGTGGGAGCATCAGACACAGATTTAGGTGCCAAGCAAATGGCAGATGCACTTGGGTCATTACCCTCACAAATGCTGAGCCTGAGGTCACCTGTGTGCAGATGGAACCTGACCCTAGAAATGGGCACGCGCGCACACACACACAGTGCTAGGATGAGACCCTGAAGTTGGCAGAGGGGAGTAACTGGAGAGTTGGAGTGAAAGTCAAGAGGGAAAAAAATAATGTATGGCTGATGGAGAACATGCAGGGACATGTGCCCTGGGGCAGGTTCTGCCCTTACTGGTGCAGTCGAGCAGGGGGATGGCAGAGCATGGCTCCCTGGACTGTCTGTGCCTCTTTGCCACCTCATCAAAGCCAGGAGTTGGCAGCAGCAGGAAGAGACTTGTTTTCATTTAGAACATTTCATTGTGTGCCCAGATCAGGAGGTGCATCTCCTGACGGTGGAGCCTTCCTCCTGTAGGAAGCCCTGAGCTCCAGTTTTATTTCTTGAAGACATGTTTGCAACCCTTTCACTTTATGGGCCTAAGACCTCGTATATGGCAACTAGGATATGTGCTCTGATATTAACAAAAAGGTTAGAGGTTCGAGGTTCCTTGGAAGAGTGGCCTAAAGATCTACTTTCAAAAACTTAGCCACTGAAAACTGTGTAGCCCAGTTCTGTTCTGACAGGTGTGGTGTTGGTGTGAGCCAGAATCGGTTCCCCAGTGGTAAACTGGTTTGGTTTAATGCCTTTCCATTTCTTGATTTCTTTGGTTTTGGTTGTATTTTCTGATTTTCCTTTGTAGAAAATGTAGAGCGATAGGTGTACTGGATATGCCCTGCTCGTACTCATTCTTCATCCACTGAGTAAGATTGCCTTCCTGAGAACCAGTGGCCCAAGGCTGATGCCTCCACTGAGAAGACGTATTTCAAAGTGAAATGAGAACTTGACATTCCCCTTGCAACCTGGGCACAGAATTCTTGATTTGCACTATTTCCCCCAAAGTTTACAGCTGCTTGCTTCCATTCCAGTTACTTTTCCCAGAAGTAACCTATTGCTTTGCATGAGTGCATCAGTTTGTGTTACGTTTTTACTGTAATAGATTGAACAGCAAGCAGTCACCAGCAGTTTAGAGTAGCACAGAGGCTGTGGGGGAGGCTGACCTGCCAGGGCCATCCATGGGTGGGGGACGACTTAGACAGCAAGGTTGGCCCTTCAAGGGCCCAAAGATGAGGCTCATTCAAGAGATGCTGTGAGCTAGTCCTATGTTCCCAATTCTTCCAGGCTGAAACATTCAGACTGCCAGTAAAAACATCTTGGCTGTAGCTCACTGTGGTGCTTTGATCTCAGCATGCCCTATAAATACCATTTAAGTCATAGATCGATGGAGTGGATGAGTGTTTGTCTTGTAAATGGAGCTCCAAGGTCTCAGGCTCCCAGAGAGGCTGGTGTAGCAAATGAAGGTGGAGGAAACCACATCCCTGCAAGGTCACAGCTGGGTCAGGTGGGTGCAGTTTCAGGCCGCATCCGGCATAACTTTGCTGCCCTGTCTTGCAGCCCGACGCACTGGAAGCAGACCTTGTTTATGATGGATGACCCTGTCCCGGTCCACGTAGGAGACGTGGTCACAGGCTCAGTGGTGCTGCAGAGAAACCCTGTGTGGAGGAGGCACATGTCCGTCACCCTGAGCTGGTCCGTCACTTCCCCACAGGACCCCATGTCTCAAAGAGTAAGGAGCACTGCTTCTGATGTTTAATTTACACTCACATCTTGGATGCTGGCCATCTGGAGAGAGGTCTGAGTGCAGTCGCAGCTGGTGTGATGACCGGCTGCTCGAACTTTCAGGGCCCACCCTGGGCCACACTTTTGGTCTCTTTTTCTTTAATCTTCATAGCAGCAGGTAGGTGCTTCTGTTTGTCTCATTTTAGGAAGTGAGGGCTCAGGAAGGTAAGTGATTCCCTCCAGGGAAACAGACCCCAACCAGTCTGCATAGCCCACTTCTTCCTCCAAAGTCTAGAACATTGAGGTAGATCAAAAAAGAAGTGGCCCAAATGTGAATTTCTTTTTACATGAGCTACCCAGCTCTCCAAGCAGAGCTAACCTGGGCTTGAAATACGGGGTTACATTGTACTCAGTAGAGCGGCAGTGTTACTGCTTGAACAGCCTTCCCCCCACACACACCCCCCGCCTGCTCCACCCCTTTCTCTACCCCTAGTCCCTAGCCCTCATTTTAAAATGTGAGAATGTGCCGGAGAGTGGCTGTAGGGCTGTGGTATTTGCTTCCATTGGATGTCACGTCAGAGTTTGTCAAGGAGCTTTGCTCATCTCAGGCCATTGACAACGGGAATAGAGGATGCTGTGCTCGGAATTAACAGAGGAAAGAGAAAAAAAAAGATAACCAAATGGTTTCCTTTTCTGTAGTTTCATTTTATATTTGTTTTATCTTGAGGGCTTAAATGTTTGCCTTGTTGAAAAAATTTTGAACCTGAGCAACATTTTCTTGTCCAGTATTACCACAGTAGTAATCAGAGTGAGCCCTGGTGGCCTTGTGGCCAGGAGCTGCGCTGCAATCCCAGGGGATCTCCCTTGGTTCACAGGAGAAAGATGGGCAATCTCCTCCTGTGTGATTAACTGCCTCAGAACCCGCCCCCCAACCCGGAGCATGAGCTATGGGATGGTTCTGACTCAACAATACACAACACCAACAATCAAAGTGATTTAATATTTGATTGATTGAATTTTTTTTCTTTTGAGGTTGGAGAAAAAAATTTTCCAATCTGGAGATGACACTGGAAGCTCTGTCTGGAAGAGGGTGTGCACATTTGGAGAGAATGACCACAAGTGAAGGAAACCTGCCCTGGAGGCCGACACTCCATCTTCTGTGAGAATGAGCCTTCTCTCTGCTCTGTGTCCCCAGCATGGCAGACCCCGTGAGCTGTAGACTTGGTGGCACCTTCAGGGTTCTCACAGAAAAATGCACTCAGGGCCTGTAGGAGTGGCCCTCACCCTAACACTGTGTCTGTTCTGTTAGCAGTAGGCTATATTTCCAAGTGTCCATCCAGTATTACCCACCGGGCCAAGCCCTGGTCACGTCAGTGGTGCTGTGATCCTCAGCTCGGTCTAGTTCGAACGTAAACTCCCAGGATACATCATAGCAATCTCTGTTTCCTCCTGTGAAAGTAACTATTCCTGCATCGTGTGTAATGATGTTCTTGCTGCTGCCAGTTCACTGCCTGCCACGTGGACGTCAGCTCTCACATAGCATCCTGGTGTTGTGTGTGGAGGCCTGAGGCGAGCGCCGATGGTGGCAAGTGCATGTAATAGATGCCGTGTAGGATAGTGCAGCCGTGTAGGCATCTTCCAGACACACTGTGTATCCACATACAGTAGGCACTCAATAAATATTTTCTAATAATCACTGTCTTGGTGTTCTATTTCTAGTCATACCCAATTTTGTACAATCATGGGATCATATTACATGCAGTGTCTTGTAACCTTGTCACGTAAGATCTCTGAAGAAACTTCCATGTTAATAGATATATGTTGACTTTTTTACTTTTAGTAAACATGTTATTGAGATACAAAATATATATCCAAAGTGGCACAGGTCTTGAGTGTGTAAATGGATGACATTTCATAACGTGAACACACACATGTAACCAGTGTCCAGGCTGAGGATTGTTAATGCACTGGGAACCCCAGACACCCCGTCTATTCTGAAACTGCAGTCAAGTAGTGCCTTGACATATGAAGCACTTTTATCTGTCCTTGAACATGGTGATTTACAGCCTAAGGAACTCGATGGAGAGAAGCTGTCAGAGTCTGCTTAGTGGCAGTGGTGGTACATTGCATATTTTCTGTGTTCCGTCTGCTTCATGCTTGTGAGATGTGATGAATTTATGTGAAGAGTGTGTATAGCCTTACTGTTGAGTAGTGTTCTCTGTGTGCGGATCGTAATTCAGCTTTCATCCCATTGCCAGTAGAAATATGAGTTATTTTCAGTGTTCAATTGATAGGAATAGTGCAAATGGGAACATTTCTCTCCATGTCTTTGGGTGCATTTGAATTGAAATCTTCCATATCCTTGTCAGTCTGTTTTTTATTTTGCCTCCTCTGGTGGGTGTATGTATGTGGTACGTGTTTCCCTGATGACTAACACCTCTGCATTTGTTCACTGTGATTTGGGTATATCTGGAGTGCTTATAGTCTTTTGCCCGTTTTGCTATTAGGGTTGTCTGTTTTACTAATTTTTGTTTTGGTACAATCTGGCTAGGAGTTCTTTATCAGATGCCCATTTTGTAAACGCCTTGTCTCACTCTGTAGTTTGTTTTTTCACTCTCTAAGCTCATTCTTGCTCGAACAAGTTTCCATCTCATAGCGATCCTTTGCTCTATACAATGAAGCACCGCTCACCCCCGCGCCAGCCTTGCGATGTGTGCGCCCTTTGAGCAGCCACTGTGCCAGTCCCTCCTGCTGAGGATTGTCTGTTTTAGCTCAGCCTCTCCTTTACCGAGCAGTGACATCCTTCTCTGGGCACTAGTCTCCCCTGATAACCTGTCTAGAGGACATGAGGCGAAGTCTCGCTGGCCTCCCTCCTCAGGAGCATTCTGGCTGTACTTTTTTCAAGACAAATTTGCTTGTTCTTCAGCAACCCAGGATATGTTCAGTATTCTTCGTGAATACAACAATTCAGGGCAATCAGTTCTTAATCACTGTTTCATATTTTGAGGAATAAATAAATTGCTATCTAGTCTTGAATCAGGGAGGGAGGGTCGCCTCACCGTCTGCTCCACATCCCTGCTGTTCTGCCGTAGAGCCCATCCCTTCCCTGTCCCAGAAGGCTGACCCAGACGATGAGCTACCACCCCCCCACCCCGTCCCGGGTAATCCCTGCCCAAGCGACCTTCATTTAATCAGGGGAGCAAAATAATTAGATGTAAAAAAAAAAAAAGAATTAGATGTAGAATGTATGGTAATAACTTACTGCTGTACTAAGTGATCCAGCCAACCAATTACTTTGAGTCCATTCCAACTTACGGCAACCAGCTCTGTGTGTGTCAGAAAAGTACTGCACTCTGTAGGGTTAGTTTTTAAAAAAGATTAATTTTTTTTATTCATTGTTGCACATTTTCACGTTTTCTTCCTACTGTTCTACTTCCCCTCCCCACCCCACCCTGCAATGCACCCCTTGTTTCATTTGTTGTCAGACATAAAATGCTTAATTATATATTCCTTTCAGACAGTTCTTCCCCACATCTGTTCTCCTGCAGTGTTTGTTATCTATCCATTCTTTCCCTATTCTCACCCCACCCTTCACTGCATTTGCCTTTTTATAACAGTGCTGTTATGCAATATTTTTCCTTTTGTGACTGAGATATTTCATCAGCATAATGTCCTCCAGGCTCTCCTATGCTCTGTAATGTTTGATGAGCTCATTGTTTTTCAGTGCTGTGTAATCTCCATGATGTGAATGTGTTACAGTCTGTCCATTGGTTTATTGATGGGCACTTGGGTTGCTTCCCTCTCTTTGCTATTATTGTTATCATTGTGAATAAAGTAGAAATAAACATGGGATAATAAACACCTGTTTGAGTTGAGGCTCTGGTTTCTTTAGAGTATGTTCCCAATAGTGGAATTGTTGGGTCAAATACTATTTCTCTTTTCAACTTTTTGTGAAAGTGTCAGACTGCCTTCCATAGTGGTTGTACCATTTCACATTTCCAGCAGCCATGGATGAGTTTCAGTCTCTCCACAACTTCGCCAGCATTTGTTATTTACTGCCCTGTTACCTTTGCTACTCTTACTGGGCTAAGATGATATCTCATAGTTGTTTTGATTTGCATCTCTCTTAGAGCTAGGGATTTTTAACGTTTCTTCATGTGTTTGTTTGCCATCTGAATGTCTTCTTTGGTGACGTGTCTATTCATATCCTGTGCCCATTTTGCGATTGGATGGCTTACCTTTTTTCTTGTTGAGGTTCTCCCTGTATTGTTTTTAATGGCTTATTATTTTGGAAAAAGATTGTCAGGCATTCTTCTGGATGGAGGCCATCTGGGTGGCTTCAGACTTTTAACCTTTAGGTTAATAAGTGAGAGTTAATAACTTTATATCATCCAGAGACATTGGGTTGGGATACTGGCTTGGAGTCCGGACATGTTCAACATTTGTTTCCCACTGGAAAGACATGTGACCCGAGTGATGCTTCTGAAGGGTCAGGTGTGTTGTGTCTGCTCCTGGCCTCCTGTGTTCTCACCCTCATCCTTTGAGAATGTTGTTCTGTGGACTGCAGATTTGCGGCTTTCCTGGACGGACTTTGGTGGAATGAGAACAGACTGTTCTGCTCCAGTTAACCTTGGTGGGCTGTGTCTGGGCAGGTTCTTGGAAAGGTTGGTGTGTGTGGTGTGTGCATGGGAATGAAAGCATGCCTGTGTTTGTGTATAGTGAGAACATGGGGATGAAACGTCATTATGAGTTGGTGTGTGTTGCACGTCCAGTAAGGATAAAGGAAACACGTGTGTGCATGTGTATGTGCATGTGAGGTGTGAGCCCAGGTGTAGGGAGTGCTCCCACTCCCCTGACCCGCCCCTCTCGGCCCTGCTGTTCTAGCACCTTTCCGCTCTGCTGCCATGTCCCTGGAGGTCTGCACAGCCCTGCACTCCCCACCACCCTAACCCCAGCACACTCAGAGGGCACCCTTGGCAGCAAAGTTGCAGCCATAAGTTTTGAAATGAAGGCGTGTTCATTTTGGATACTTGTTAGTGGGCATCATGTGAAAAAACTGGCAATGAATGTCAGAGACTGAGAGGAGAAAAAAGTACACAAGTTAATGAGTGAACATGGGAGAAGCCACCTTGCTGATTTGAGGACCCTGGGTGGGAAGCCCAAGCCTGCTGGCCCCCAGGGTCCCTTGCCCTGCCTTGGGGACACCCAGGAGCCCTTCACCAGCCATTGGGACTGCCAGAGTTCTTCTGCCCAGCGGGTTCCAGGGAACGTGTGGGAGAAGGCAGCTGTCTGGCCACCAGCCCCCTTTGTGTGGTTTCTGTGCCACTGAGCCCTTTACATCCGCAGAGCTGACAAGCTGGGCACGTTCTGACCCCAGAGACCTGCAGGGGAGCAAACAACAACAAGAAGCAATCTCAATATTGTGACAGGAAGGCTTCGTAGAGAAACACTCCGCTGTGCAAGGACACGCACGCCTGCGGCCCCGAGGGGATCTGGACGTACTCTGGTGGCTTCCCTTCTTCCTGTCAATCACAACCTCAGCCTCTTTTCACAGCAGGGGTTTGCTAATGTGTGTGCAGCCACTCAAACTAGATCAGCCACCAGCCACCACCATCTTTCCGCAGGGCAGTGAAGGGAAATTACCCAGAACAGTTTTCAGCAGCTTGTACATCTCTTTCCCTCGATCCCATCCCATCTCGGGCATCTGGAGGCTTGTCGCTGGTCTCCTGGGTGGAGAGTCCAGATTTAAGGGACGTCTTTATGGGGGCAAACTCACTTCCCTTGCCTGCTTGCTGGGTGTGGATGGGCATAGCAAGCAGGCAGATAGACCAACTTTAACTCTCACGCACCCGTGTGAGGCCCTGAGAAGTGCCCAAATGAGGGAAAGTGGTCCAGAATGGTGAGGCTGAGTTTTCCACATCCAACCTGCTCTCCTTCCCATCCTTGAGAATGTGCAGAAGGAAGTAACTGAGGTGGGACCAGATAAAGCAAAGGAAGAAATGAATAAAACAGATGGAAAGACTGAAAACAAAGGTGCTTCGAGGTTTATCCCTCACTGAAGGCAC